ATCACTTATTATTTACTAATTGCTTTATCATGAAAAAGAAAAGCATATTAATTTTTAAATGCTTTTTTTTTACACTCATTTTTAAACAGATAATTTATGATTCACTGATTTTTTGGACGATAATGACATCGAACTGATAATAATATCTTCTACTCTGATTTTACAAAATGAATTTACGGATTTATTTCTTTTTTTAGTGATTTTTTAATTTTTTTTTTTTGAAAAAGCAAAATGATTTTAGGTCATTTAAATTTGATATTATTGTCGACTTGGAATATTTACTGTTTTCAATATTTTACTTCAACTTGTTCGTCGGCATTTAACGCAACATTTTGAATTTTTTTGAATTAGTTTGAAGCTGTGATAAAAAAATGAGTTAAATAATATAACTCGAGTGATAGTCATCCTAATGCGCTTAATATTATAAAACAAAATTTAAACTAATAAAATTAAAAAAAAGTTAGAGAAATGGTTCAAAGTCTTTAGTTGAAGTTAAGTAGATAATTATCGAAAAAGTTTAAATAAAATAGTAGAAATCTTAGATATTATATTAATGATGAAAATAATTCTTCTTATTGTTTAATATAACGAATAGAAATTAGCAATTACAGCCACCAATTACAGCCATCATATTACTGTTACAGTATTTTCTAATTTTAATAAATTGTGAAATTAAATGTTTTTTGCCTGAGATATTCCAGCTTTCTCGATCTTTGCAGCATCTTTTCAAATTTTATTTGAGTTGTTTTGAAATTCGCTTTCCTTTTTACTAATATCCACCAATTAATTCCACAATTCCTCATTGTGCATATCAATAATGAGATCGATTGGAAGCAATCCCTCAAATTAAATTAATTTGTCTAAACCTCAGATAACCAAATATGTTTTAAAGTACAAACAGTGAGAAATGATTTCATTCACAGTGAACAAATGCAGTATTTCACCAAAAATACATATCATAACTTCTATTTCGGAAAAAGAGCAATTAATTAATGTAATTCATTTGAATTTCATCAAAAAATTAGATTTATCAATCTTTTGTGAATGATTTACATAATTGAGTTTTCTCGAAAATAAAAGCGTATAAATTTTAAAATTTATTATTGTAAAACGCAAATCAATACAATGAAACAAAATGTCAGCATTCTGTAAATATGCAAATCATGCAATTCGATAATTATTAATTAGTATAAAATAATGACTTTTTAATCAGCTCTGAATCGAGAAAAATTTTTATAACACAATCAATCTTCGCATTCTTCTCTGATGAATTCGATTCAGTTATTATCTGAAAAGCAAAAAAAGATAAACAAATAAAAATAAAACTAAGAAATGTCGTATAACGAAATAATTTCAAATGCATATTTTCGATGCTATTATTGTCATTAGTTATTATCATGTAAGGAATTATTAACTTTTTTGCATAGAACTTCATGAAAAAGCAAGAAAGTTTAAGATGGTTTAATTTTAGCAAATTTCAAAGAACATTTGCGCATAATTTTCAATTTGTAATCAAATTTGATTGTTCATTTGCTTGTTTGCTGAGTTTTTTCTTTTTTTGCGAAACTTTCATTTACATACAATTATTTGCTGACCTTTTGCCGAAACTGAGAAAATCGCGATTGAATGCATTCGCGTCAACGCCGCTTTTTTTATTGGGATTTATCAAAGTCCGATCAAGTGTGGTCATTGGTTTACCAAAATTCATAAATTCCCTATCAAAATTGCGCTTTTTGTAAAGCAATTCAGGAGTGTCACCAATTTTCAGTATCTCATCAGGCCAGCCGTCACCAATTGAACGTTTTCCAAAATTCATGAAATCTCTCGAAAACTAAACAAATTAAAATAGATAATTTAATTATACCTTCTTTGCTCTAACATACTGTTATTACTTTATTAATATTTTAATTCCACCTAAAGTGTTTTTACATGAACAATTCTGAATCCCTGAAATAGTGTCAACTAACAATTAAATTCTAAAATTCCCACTTTTTGAAGGTTTTACTAAAAACGGTTTACTGAAAATTTCATTAGCATTTTTTGAATTCAACAAGTTTTTTCTTTTTTCTTAAGTTGACAGCATTTTTTTAATTTCAATATTAAATAAATGATCATTTTTGTGCAAAACAAAATTATTTCGAATACTGTAAATGCAAAATTAAACATATCAAAAATGCTTCTGAGCAAGTTAATTTTAAATTTTATGTTGATTTTTTTGTTGATTTTCACTGTAATTTTTTGTTTTAAAATTTGCTAACAAAAACATTATCAGTTTTTTATTTTATTTGTCTTTCCAGTATTCGTTATTTGATATGCAATTATATTACAATCATTTAATATCATAATTAAAATTTTTTTGATAATTAGAAAAGAAGATGTTTATTAAAAGTTTTCTTTCTCATTTTTTCCCTTCCCAATCAAAAAGAGGAAGAGGAGGAGAAAAGAAGAAAAAATAAGGAAGAAATTCTTAGATAGGGAATTTTTTACCACCTCGCCTCTTTTAAGCGACAAAGCATTTTGATCAAATCGTGGAATTTTATTCGATGAACGTTTTCCAAAATGCATAAAATCTCTTCCCAATCGATCGTTGTAAATGGCTGTAAAATTAAATAAAAGTGATTAAAATAAATTTAAAAAATAGAGAATAATTTAGTGCAAATTAAAGAAAAAGTTTTTAAATTTAAATTAAAAAAAGCTGTTTTTTAACTTTTATGCTAATTTAAGTGAGACAAAAATCAAAAGAACGTGAAAGAACTCATTTATAAAAATATTGCATCATTATGCGAATGGTTTATATTTTAGGAAAAGATGAAAATTAAGCTGAATAAATTTAGACAAATAAATTTTTTTATACGGTATGTTTTTTCTTCTAAGATAACAATAATTAATGACTTAATTTGAATGCAATAAAAGGTATTAAAATATAGTCTGCTGCTGTATCATCACGATATTCAATATATCTATTGAATGCTTCATCATAATGATTGCATAAATTTAGGGTTTTAAATTTCTTTCGTAGTTTTTTAAAATTTAATTTTTGTTAGCCTTATTTTTGTTTAAATAAGAAGTATATCACCATAATATTTTGACTGAACAGCGATAATAACTGAAGAAACGATTATAAGTACTGCTGTGATTCCCATTGTTAATGTTACCCTTTTCACCTGGAAGAAATTTATTTTCAAAAAATAAAAAATTTAAAAAAAATAAAACAAAATTCTCGCAAAACACAAAAAATATTAGTTGATCAGAATATATGTATTAAAAGAAATTTTTGCAACATTACAGAACAAAAAAAGTTAAAAGAACTGAACTATTTCCAGTATTATGGTTTTTAGCAAATACTCAATTGCTTAAAAATTCTAAACATTGAAAATTTTATGATTTGAAATTCAATGCTCAAAATTTTGACAAATTTAATTTTAATTTGTTCATCATTTTAGCTGTGAAACGATAAATCATTGAAGTTAGTCCACGTTATATTTTAATTTTTTTTACTCTAATCCTAATTAATATGTTGTAATTATTTAAATCACATGATCAATAAGTAACCATTTTTTCTGCAGAATATATCGCCCGAAGTAATCAACAAATATGGCGGGGCGGGAACAATCAGAGGGGACGGAGAAATGACAGTTACAAACATGAATTTTTAATTCTAAATTCGGCAATTGATTTATTTCGCATTAAATTATCCTTAGAAAAGATTTATTTCAATGTGCAGTTGTTATCATTATTATATCGAATGATACTAATAATGAATTAAATTTCCCGAATAATATGCCGAAACGAACTATTCGAGTGGATGCTCGAGAATGAATCCAATGAGTGGCATGAATTTCTCTTAAATACAAATATTATTAAATCAAGCCCGGGAATAGCTTTTTGGATAATATCCAGAGTGTACTTCCTGGATAGTGTTGATTGTTCTTGGATGGAACGAATTTTCAGCTGTATGTTTTTTTTCAGATTAAAACAAACTTCTCAAATAATGCCAAAGTGAATTTTTTAAATTATTTCAATGAATGATGGCTGCGCTATTTTCATTAAAGTTCATAAAAAACTGATAGGGATTAATTTTTTAACTTAAGCCTTTGTCATTTCAAATAGCATTCGAAAAAAAGTTGCTCTTCGTAATATTATTTTAAAAATTTGATATTAAAATCGTGGATTGCATCAAAGTACATCTCTGATAATATCTTACTAAAATCAGTGTATATTTCAAAATCAGTGTATATTTGTATGTATCCATGAAAATGATAAATGAAGTTAGTGGGTTTTAAATGAGAAACATTGAATGCATACAATTTGCATAATACAGAAATTTAGAACGGTTTAGAAAAAAAAATAAAAACAAATTCGAATACTTCTATTTTTCTTCTTTTAGTGATAAATTAAGTGTTAACCAAGAATATTACCGAAATTTTAACAAATTTTTATTCATTTAAATAAATTATTTGTTTCGTTCATGAAATTATTCAAAATGATAAATAACACATAAATATGAGTTTTTGATATTATGTGATAAGAAAAGAGCTAAAACTTTATAGGTTGATTAATTTGAATATTATTTAAAGAAGCATTTTATAAATTCATTTTATAAAAAAAATTTTAACAAATTTTTTATAATTTTAATAGATGAGAATTCAACAACTATTACATTAAACATTGTTTTTTCATTTTCCTTAATAATATAACGAAACTTAATATTTATTTTAGTTTGTGGAAAGTACAATTTGAAGATTTATCATACTAAGAATTGTAGATAGTACTTGATTAGCAAGTGGTATATTTATATTGCTTGCTAACCAGTAATTTTTTAATTAAGCATTTACTGAGAAAAAATTTTCCCCCTTCAACAACTTAGGCTGCAAAATTCTTACGAAATTTAAATATGTAATCAAAAAGGGAAATTTTTTTGTTAAAGAAGAAAAACAAAAAATTAAAAGCAAATGAGAAAGAAAAAAAACGAAAATTAGCGATGCTTGTGATATAAATAATGGAAAATAAATGTAATTGCGAGAATTATGTCATCAATTTCCTTTCATTTAAAATTTCATCATTGAAGAAAGGATTAAAAATATTTCAATTTTAACACATTAAATATAATGACATCAAAATAATATATTTTATGAAAGAATTATTTGCAATCATTTACAAATGCATTTAGAATTCACTGATAAGAAGGTGGATGAGATGGGAAAATGTAATGAAATTCGATATATATATAAGTTAGCTTATTTTATAATATGATAAATTTATTAGGCACAATTTGAGAGAAAAATTGTTCATTGAGCTAAATCGTAATTTTGTTCGCGGTTTGGTCAGTTCCTTTTCGTTTTAAAAGAGTGGATTTTAATTGAAAATTTGACCGACAGAAAATTGAAGAGTTTAATTAGCCTATAATGCTCATTTAAACCATTGCCAAAACTTTGAATGATTCTGAGCTTTTCTCTCTTCCATCCATTACCTTTTCTATAGCAATTTAAATTTTTCGGATAATTTCAGCTTTTGTTTTAATTTGTTCATTTCTAAATTGCTCGCTGGCCTTTTATAATAATTGCAAAGTTAAAATTGAAAACTTAAAGTAATCCTAATTCTGAGAATGTATTCTTATGGGAAATGTTACATTAGCTTATAAATTTGTTGCAATGTGCATGTTAATTTAAAAAAATAAAAATTTTCCATTATAATTTTAGTGCTAGATGAATTTCAAAAAATTTTTTAGAACTCTTAAATACGAAAATTGGACTTTTTCTTCAAAAAAGTAAAAAGTAATTAAATTGACAATCAAACATTTACAAATAATGTTAATTGGTCGAGAAAAAGGATAATTCAAAAAAATTGCGGGAATCGATTTTAGAGAAAGATTAAGAATTTATTAGAATAATAAATTATAAATTAATAAAAATCGAAAATCAGCGTCAAATANTATAATTCAACAGCCAAATTTTTAATAAATGACATTAANACATCTATAAAACACTATAAATTCATATGTTAATTAATGTCCTAATCATACCATAATTTTCATTTATCACTTGATGAAATTTAAATATCAAAACACTTAGCAATACACGAAATGGCAGGAATTGTAGGAAGAAATCTAAGAACTGAAAATATCGGAAATATCCATAACTATAATTTAATTCCTTACACGAATATAAAATTAAGTGAATTGGGAATTTACAAAGATTTAAGCGGAATTTAATCGGTTAAAAAATTTTAAATTTAACTAACTCTCATCAAAAATTCCAGCTAATTGTTCTTTTTTAAATTATGAAGTGAATTCCACTTCTTTCTAATACAATTCCATTCAATTTTTAGTTAATCCAACAGTGTGTCGGTCAATCCGCACTTATCATAATTACATGATCCTTCTTTTATCTTCATTATTTGATAAAAATCAAAATAATTGATAAATCAGAAATAATGAGAATTTCATCAAAGAATTATAAGTTGAAATATTTGATAAAAATTTGGAAACACTTATAGGAATATATGGTAGAATAACATTCGTAATGCAGTATTTGAAACGGTGTTAAAATTTTATAAATCCTTATTTTAAGTTTTCAAATATAATATTTAAAATTTTCATAAAATTATTGGTAAAGTACACACTTAGCAAATTGAAACAAGAAAAAAACTTCTCTTTTTGCATAATTCTTACAATTAATATTCGATAATTGTTTTAGCTGACAATTTATTGTTTCACATTCCAAATTATTGCCAAATTTATTTCCAATATTTTTTAATCGGATCATGCATATTTACTTGTATGTATAACTTTTGAGGTAATCATAACTTAGAGCGTAA